TGATTGATATAATTATTTGTTTATACAATAGTTAGTAATTAGCGGTTGTTGTTCGATGTTAAATGATTAATAAAGACATATTTAAAAACAATTAAGTGTTTTTTTCTTTTATGTATTTTATTTTTAAAATTATTATTTTATAAAATAATAATAAAAAATAACAAAATAAAATAAATTATAATAATGTAATCACACACTCATTTCAATTTTTAGTAAAGAAAAAATTATATTATTCTTAAATAAAATTTTTTAATTATTTATTCTAATTAGTAAATTTTATTTATTAAGCTAATATATTTCTTATGATAAATTAATGTAAAAATAAAAATATAATAACTACTTAATGCTATCAAAGACAAAAAAACCAAAATTGAAACTAATTAGATAAGTACTAATTAAAAATTGTGGCCAAAAATTAAAAAATTAAAATGGATAAATATGTTGATAAAATTAAAAAATTCTAATTTGCTAGCAGTTTAATATAAAAAGCTACCTAAACTAGGTTTTTCAATCGATTAGCAATTTAGACTCTAATTGCTATTCGCTAGTCCTAGACTATTAAATAAAAATTTACACCTTGTTTGTAGCGATTTCAAAATATGCAAGTATTCCAAATACTGCTAATAGCTACTTTTAAACCACTATACCAAATATGCCCTAAGTTCAAGATCTACAAGAAAATTTTGAATTTCTAGCTTCAGCAATTATAGCTATATAAGATGAATAATAAAATCTATATCCTTTGAAGTTAACTGCATAGCCAATAAAATTATCACTAATTGTTCTAAGGTTAAGTTTCTTCATTTCAAGATTATAAATCCTCATTGCTATTAGACAACCTTAGACTTCTATATGATCTAAACTTGTTTTCTATCCTTTTCATAGCTCAAAATGAGGTTTTGAAATTGCTTTGGATTTGATTTAAAATATACACTATAGTCTTTAAGGCTTCACTTCAAAGAGATAAAGGCATATTAGTGTGTCTTATCGTGCTTCTTATCATATCTATAAGTATCTTATTCCTTCTTTCTACAACCCCATTTTGTTGAGGTGTTCTATGTTGTACTTATGATTTGATGATTACCAAACACACTTAAATTACTAATGTGTTTATCTAAGTGTGTAGCTTATGCCTTGAAAGTCAAAAGAAGTTAATGGAATTAGATTATATTGAAATAAGGACAAAAAATGTGGAAGAGAGCTAACTTTCAATTCTACAGTTGTCTTTGTTGAAGAAAAATGCAAGGAGCTAACTTTGAGTGTTGCAATCATCTATTGATCCAAAGCTCTAACTTGCAGCTTGGTGTGCATGGAAAATGGATGAAAAGCCAGCTTCCATTTTGCAATTAGTTGTGATGAAGCATTTAATGCCCAACAGTAAAAAGTTTTGAACATTTTTTAATTTTTTGGACCTAAATTTGCGAAACTGATTTGGGATTTATAGTTGACTCAAAAGAAAAACAAAATGTTTAGCCTATACAAGATAGTTGGCTTTGACATTGATACCTAGTTATGCAAAATCGGCTATGAACGTGAAGCTGACTCAACTATAAAACTTGTAGTGTGTTTTCTCACACTAAAATTGATCTACAATGCATTAAAGGATCCCCAATGGCTAGTAACAGCTATTTTTGACAATAGAGTACAAATATGGTTCGTAAAAGTCTTCAAGACTCTCTTAGACACTTTCATTGAAAATCATTCACTTACCAACTTGAGATTCTTTGCTTTAACTTGTAAAATTGATTTTGGAGTGATCTTTATTTACAATCCTCTACTTGCTTTCTTAGAGGGATATCTTAGGGGTGTGATTAATTCCTTCAAAAGTGATTTGTAGTGAGGATTGCTATGTTTGCTTTGTAAATGAGTAAAATTTGTGAGAAAACCCTTTTTTTGTAAAAAGGTTGAGTGACTCTTTTAAGCCACCCCTATTCATTCTAGTGGAAAATGTGGAAGAAATCTTTGGTAAATAAAACCAAGGTAGAGGATCAAATACCAAGTGATTGGACCAAATCTCTATAAAATGCTTCTCACAAGCTTCTTTACCATTCTTTCATTGGTTTTCATTTTCTGATTGCAAAAGGAAGAAAAAATTTTGAAGCTCCAATTTACCCCATTCTTAGAGCATTTGAGCCAACATTCTAGGCATTGTATATTGAACAACAATGCCTTCTTTTGCTAGGAACTTATTTGTCCATTTTCTATGTACTTTCGATAGCACTCCTCACCTCTATAAGATCTTACAAACTAGATATTCTTTTCGTTTTGTTTTCTACCTCTGCTTTATATATTATAAATGCATCCAAAACTTTAACTTTGTCATATGAAAGGTAGAGGTACATAAACCTCATGTTGTCATCTATAAATGATATAAAGCACCTTTAATCACTAGAACAAGAAATGGATAGTGGTCCATAGATACCCATGTGTATGATTTGTAAAACTTCAAAATTCCTTTGGCACCTTTAGTGGACATGTTGGTATGTTTATCGTTAATACAATCCAAACAAATCCCTAATAAAATCAACATTTTTTAAGATTACATCATTTACTAATCTTTTAATTCTCTTAATGGAGATATGACCAAATCTCCTATACCATTAGTTGAAAGACTCATTGATACATTACTTAAATGCCAACACTTTTATCATGCAAAAGAAAACCTTGCTCATGTGTGGAATCCAAATTAAATTTAAATAAACCATTTATTAGATTTTCAAAACTAGCCACATTTTTATTATGAACAGCTTTGAATAAAGATCTTCAAAAATAAAGCTAAAGCCATTATTTAAAAGTCTAGAAACTAAAACCAAATTCCTAGAAAAGGATGGAACATAAAAAGTGTCTTTCAAATCCATAACAAAATCATTATTTAAAATAAGTTTGAAAGCTCCCATACCTTCAACTTGTGAATGTATTTGATTGCCTGAATAGATGCCTTGTTCACTTTTTTTAACTTATATAGGTTAAGAAAGCCTTGCATAGTATTAGTAATGTGAATTGTAAATCTGAAATCAATCCACCAAGTATTTCCAGAATATCAATTAGAAAAGATTCATGATATATTAAGCACAATAATGTACCTTTTTTTTCAACCAATTTTTATGGTTGAGGCAATTTTTCTTTGTGTACCCTTTCTTCTTGCAAAAGAAGTAAGTATTCTTATCAAAATGAAGCCTTAATGGCGTCTTTCCAATCTTCTTCTTCCCCTTATAGGCATTATTAAACATTTTATAACTATCCTTAAAAGTGTCATCTTTTGATTGAATCACAAGATGAGCAACATCTTGCTTTTCATCAAGTGTCTCATGCATTAATCTTCTTTCTTTTAAACACATGGTCAAAAGTTCATTCACTAACCAATTATCGTTATGTGTGTTATAAGAAATATTGAAAGAACTGAACTCAAGAGGTAGGGAATTTAGTACAAAGTGCACCAAAAAGGAACCTAAGATTTCAACCTCTAAAAACTTTAGCTTGATAACAATGTCTCATTTCCATGATGTGTTCATGCACACCCTTAGAATGGTCAAACTTCATGCTAGAAAATTTCTTCATAAGAGTATTGGCAAGTACATTGTCAAATGTGACAAATTGTTCCTCAATAGCTTTGAAGAAATTCTTGACCTTGTCCATTTCAGGGACAAAACCCTTATACTCTTGCTCATAGAGGATTTCATGATCATTAGGCTTAAGTGATAGGATCGCTTCCACTTTTCATGTTTAGATTTCTTATATGTAGCACTTGATTCCATGGGAACATGAGGTTCATCCACATGAAGTGCTAGGTCAAGGTTCATATAGCAAAGAACAAAAGAATTTTCTATTTCCAAATTGTCACTAGAAAGGGTTGGCTTATGGATTTGCATAAGATTTAAATTAATTAAATAGTTTTTAAATAGTTTGTTCACTCTTTTTTTTTTACATGCATTTAAAACATTAATTTAAGGAATTTATGTTAAAAAAATAGATAAAAATATATTCATTTATAGTGGAATTAATTTTTTCTAACGTGCCATTGTTATTTTAATCATAAATTATGAAACTTGAGTCGATCATATAAAACTATTGTCATGTACAACTACCATAATATAGCAATAACAATTTATATAAGAAAGTCGAGGGTTAAGCAAAACTAATAGTTTTGGAGGCAATATATGACGAATGTATAAAGAAGTTTTGAGGAGGTGGAAATTAGACTAGTCCTTTGGTATTAAGGGAAATTCATGAGTAGGAGAAGATAAGGACTTCTAGTCCACATCCCTAAGTGTACTGGAAGTCGATGATTTGATGGAAAAACACAAGCATTGTTTTAGGTTAGACTCAAAACCCATCTGTTAAATTGTTGTCAATAACTTCCTACTATCAAGGAATCATATACCAAAAAACTCAAATCATGACTTTTGGATTGGAGAAGATCTTCCACTAATATTACTATTATCATAATTAAATATTTAAATTAATTAATTGGATTTTATCTGCTTTAATGATGTGGCATATAGATCATATTTAAAAAGATAATTTAAACAATTTAGTGATAATTTTATAATTGATAATTATACTCACATTACTATATTTCTTTATTTAAATTTAAAATAATCACATGTTATGGGTATAAAATTAGTCTTATAAATTGAGCTATATTGTAAAAAGTATTAAAAAAATATTATGTCTAACACTTATACTAACATTTTACATGTCAAAAGATACATTAGAAAAGGTTCCCACAACTTTTAGAAATTGTAGCCAATCAATGGCTGCCATAATTGCAACATGTAGTCACCAATGTGAATCACATTGGTGACTAAACTTTTATGGTTGCCCATTTATAATACCCCAAAATTTCTAGAGCATTAAAGTGTGAGTTAGGGACCTTATTGTGAAGAAATACTATTAATGAACTTAATGGAAAAAATTTTCAAAGTTCAGCGACTAAAAAGAAAAGAAATTAGGATAAGGATAAGCTGATATTTTTATTCCTTTTCTTCCCAGCCATACACGTTTCTGCTCTGCTCTTCTTCTTCGTGCAGCCCGACCAGCCCCCCCAAAGCCACCGATTCCCTCTTCTTGTGAGAACCGATGAAAGGCTTGAAATTTCCCTTTCCTTCTTGCTCAAAAACCAAGTTTCAGGCCTAGAACACTCTCCTAGACCCAGAAATTTTCCAGATCTGCGCTGTCTTCTTCCCCTCTGTCCGCCGGCCTCTGCTGTGTGGGGTTGGGTTCGGTTTTCTGGTAAGATTCAGCCATGAATTCCTCTCTTTAACTTTGATTTAGGTTGGGTTTACTTAATTTCTTTGTTCTTCAATTTTGGGTAGCATCGTGAGTCTCCCCTGCAGATTTGCCGCTGCCCTCTTTCCCCCGCCAGATCCAGTTCTGCAGCTGGAAAATTTTGGGTAAGTTGACAGCTCCTCCAAGTCCAAATTATCCATGTAATTGCTGCCTTGTGTTGATTGGATTTTCTGCTTTTGAATTTCCCTTTTGCTGTCCGAAAATGGAAGAAATTTAGGTGAAATTGTGCTGGAAGGTGGAATGAATTTGGTAGCCTTTTTGACATGTTTTTAGCTTAATTTATGTAGGATTAGTTGATTTGGGCTGTTGCGATTCTTGGAGAAAAATCCCGTGATTTGCTATTATTTTGCTAAATAGGATTAAATGAAATAAAATCCTATTCCCCTATTTTGTTCTGTCCGTGGGAGTAGAATGAATTATATATGAATGTGTATATAAATATATATATATATATATACACAATTTGGGTAATGAAAATAAATAAAATAAAAGTAATAAATATTGCATTTTTGGATTGGTCGGGAACAATAGAAAAAGGATTAAGTATGTAGTTTTATATGGGTATTAATTTTGGATGTTTTGAATTAGGTTTGTGATCGTTCTGTCAATTTAGCACTAAGATAGAGCCTTTGGTTTTAAGCAAGTGAGGTAAGTAAATTTATGGTAATGCCCATACAGTTTTTAAAAGCATGTTTTGACTTGTTTTTTAAGTGGTGGCGGGACTAAACCCGTTTCATACAAAATAAGTATGATGGATTTAAAATGCAAATTCTTACTCTTTTATTAATTTTAGCATGCCTGCTTGGAATTTATTTAACTGCCCTGATGATCTGAAAGTTTTCTATAAAGAATGATTTTCTGTTAAATTCAACCTGTTTTGTCTCCGATATGGTCATGTTATCCTGTTGCCCGCTAGAAGGAGGTTTATAAATGCTAGCACATGTTGACATGTATTTCTGTAGAGTCGGTTCCTCTTGCCAATGGGAGTTGTTAAACACTGATATTCCTGTAATCCTGCTAGTGGGGTTTTACACTAGTAATTTCTGTAGCTTGCCAGTGGAAGATTTATAACACTAGCCTTGACCTATAGGGGAGACGTCTATTTCATTCTCGTACTTGTATCCGTTTTTTCTAATTACACTTGTTGGCATTGTCACGCCCCAAAACCCAAATTCGAGGCGCGACAGATGTCGTACACTCGTGAGACGGGTCCCACAAGTGCACAAGGCTCGGAACTTATCATATCACACTCTGATACCACCAAAATCTGAGGATCAAATTATAAAATTCTCTTTGATATCATAAAATCTCCAAATACAAGATCATGATTTATTTCTAAAATTTATATCAATCTCGAAATGGCTAGCTTTCTAACTCGTCACATCCCGTGATTTCCCCGTCTTCGGTTTCACTTCCTGAAATGGTGGACAAGGAAAACTATGAGATAAACTCAGTAAGTAAATATGGAGCGCCCCTTATCAAACTTAAAGCATGCCAACAAGTACAATCACGAAAACAGATACAGTATGGGCACGAAATAAACGTCTCCTCTATAGGTCACGGTCAGTGTATAATCCCCACTAGCAGGGCCACGATTTGTTGGTGTATAACCCCCACTAGTTGGGTTGAACGAACCGGCTCTATCACTACATGTCGACATGTGCTAGCGTTTATAACCTCTTCCACTAGCAGGGTCACGAATAACATGACCACATCGAAGACAAAACAGGCAGAAGTTAACAGGAAAATCACGATTCACAATCACTTTCAGATCATCAGGACAATCACTCAAATTTCAAGTAGGCATGCTCAATTTCATGAAAAGCACAAAACATTTCACTTCAAATCAGTCATACTTGTGTAAAACGGGTTTAGTCCCGCCATCACTTCAAAAACAAATCAAACATGCTTTTAAAATCAAAGGGCGTTACCATAATTTATTTATCTCACTCGCATAAAACCGAGCACTCAATTCACGCACTAACTGACAGAACGATCGGGAGCCTAATCAAATATTCAAAAATTAATACCAAACTATCACAAATTCACACTGAACACTTCATTAGGATCATTCCTAATCACAATGCTATTTCCATAAATCTCCACATGATCAAATATCTCCAAATTCGTTTTTATATCACAAACTAATCACTTAAATCCCCGTTAATTATTGGCCCTCGGGGTGTGAACAGTACCCATGAACAGTACTTATGAACAGTGCCATGAACAGTAATTCCACTTTCACAAATTGGCCAAAACACTAGCTAATCTCACGAGATTTTTTCCAAAAATCACATAGCAGTCCATTAACACTCAATCATATAAATTCCACTTGAATCAAGCTAAATCATGGTCTAATTACTATCAATTTCATCCCCATTTTTCTAGCAAAATTCGGACACACAGGGGCAGCCAATAAAGGGACAATTTCAAGCTTAAATGGTTGTCACATACCAAAATTTTCTAACAAGAATCGGACCTAGCAGGGGGAAGAAGCCGGCGGCAGTGCAAGGGAGAAACTCACGGATCTACCCAAAATTGGAGGAACAAGAGCAATTAAAGTTAACCCAAGCCAATTCAAGGAAAAGCAAAGGGATTTAATGGCTGTTTCTTACCCAAAACCCAAGCAATTCGCCCCCACAACAAGAGCAGTCGGCGGACAGAGCAAAGCAGAGCAGATCCGGTTTCTGCAGAGAGGGAGGGAAATTTCTAGGTTCTTTATGGGTTCTAGAACAAGAAAGGAAGTGGAAAATACCAAGCTTCCTTACCAATTTTCCAAGGCATGGTTGGGTTCCCCTTTTTTTTTCTTTGGGTGGCTGCAGCGGGAAGACAAGAAGAAGAAGAGCAGAATCGGGAAGGCTGGGAAGAAAAGAAAGAAAGAAAAAGAAAAAGAAAAGAAGTCATCCTTATCCAAAACTCTTCCACTTTTAAGTCCCTCAGCTTTCAGAATGTTGGCTATTAAGCCCAAAACAATATTTTCTCACAATTTAGTCCTTAACTCACTTATTTATTCTCGAAAATTTGGGATATTACAGGCATGCTATAAGTTTAATTGACTACTATTGAACTTTATTCTGCATAATGGTTTATCATTGAACATTCTGTTTATGTTTAAACTGTTTATCTGAAATGCTCAAATTTTACCCACAGGTTATCCATACATTTACTTATTGAGATATTTTATCTCATAGTTTTCCTTGTCCACCATTTCAGGTAGTGAGACTTGACGCATGGGGAGCCTGGGGGAGTGATGAGTTAGACGGCTAAGCACTTTTGGACTTAGATTTTTGTAGCTAGGCCGTTGGTCACCCATGCTTGACTCAGAAATTTTTGTGTACAGAACTTAGTTTTAGTCATGATGGTATATATGAAATTATAAATTTTGTACATCTGACTGGTAAATATTTGGTAAATAAAAATGTTTAGATCTGAATTGTCTGAATCGCTAAGTAAGAACTCAGTAAGTTTAGAGCCTTGTGCATTTGTGGGCTCTGCTCATGAGTGTACGGTGTCTGTCGCGCTTCGAATTCGGGTTTTGGGGCGTGACACCACTAGTTCTCCTCTTCCTTTTTTCTACCTCCATTTCTTCATCATTGTTTTAGATGAGAAAAGTCTTGATTTTTTTGTCATTTTTTCCTTTAAAATAGTAGATTAGCCAAGCCACTAGTAAGTATATTTTGGTTAGATTTATAGTTTTATTTAGATTTCTCTTTGGATTTGTACAATAATCTTTTTTTTGCTATTTATAGAAATAAGCCATTTGTGTTGTACCTATTATTTTGATAATTACAAAACACATTTAAGTGACTAATTGGTTTATTTAAATGTATAGTTAAATTGTTAAACGATTGCAAGTAAACTTGGACTGCACTAAAAATAGACCAAAATGATTGAAAATGTGCAAATAGTCAGGTCTTGAAAATTGCAGCCGACTCTGCCTAAAGAGATTGCAGCCAGTTGTGGAAGTGTAGAGAGCCGACTCTGGAAGCTGCAGTCGGCTCTATGGGCAAAAATTTGAAGATCGTTGTTTGGCGCACGAAGAAAAGATGCAAAGCTGGCTCCAACTTTGCAGCCTGCTGTAATGGTGCATTTAATGTGCAACGGTCGACTTATTTGAAGAATAATTAATATTTTTAAGGTCATAATACCTAAGCCGCTTTATGTTTTTTACAACCGACTATTCAAGAAAACAAAATGTGCAGGAAACTTGCAAAGCTAGCTTTGCGTTTTGCAACCGGCTCTACAGAGAAAACAGAATGTTCAAGATACCGCAAAGCCGGTTGCTGAAATGGTAAGCTGACTGTGCAGAGCCAGCTCTAGAAGCTTAAGCCGGCTGAACTAACAGTTCTATAACTCGAACCATGCGTCCTACAGAGCATTTAATGACCTCTAACGACTAGAAATGACTATTTTCGAGCAAGGAGCTATAAATATGGTTAGTAACAAATCTGGAACAAGTTTTAGAACATTGCATTGAATATCTTTACCTACCTACTTGAGCTTTAACTTGAGTTTTTGATCTTTGAGTGATCTTTACTTGTAATCCTCTTCTTGTTCTATTAGTGTATGTTCTTGGGGGTGTGATTATTCCTTCAAGAGTGATCTATTGAGAGGATTCTTGGGGTTTATATTGTAAAGGGGTGAGGTTTGAGAGAAATACTAATTTTCTTGTAAAAGAATTGAGTGGCTCCTTTAAGCCACCCTTATCTTTCTTGGTGAAGAGTGTGGAGGAAATCCTTGATGAGTGAAGCCAAGGTAGGAGACTAGGCTCCAAGTGGTTGGACCGAACCTCTATAAATTCTTTGTGCAAGCTCTTCTTTTCTACACTCTTTAATTGTGGTTTTGTGGTTGCAAAAATGGGAGAATTTTTGTGTTGTACTTATGATTTTGATGATTACAAAACACATTTGAGTGACTAATTGATTTATTTAAGTGTGTAGTTAAATTGTCAATATACTGCAAAGTAAGCAAAATGAGATTGCATTAAAAAGGGCTCAAAGGGTAAAAATATGCAGAGAGCCGGCTTAAGAAAATTGCAGCCGGCTCTAGAAAATTGCAGTCGGCTCTAGAAAATTGCAGCCGACTCTAGGAAGCAGAAATGCAGAGAGCCGACTGCAGATTTTGTTGAGTCGGCTCTATAAGCAAGAAATTCAACTGCTATTTTGGCGCACGCGGAAAATGGAAGCAGAGCCAGCTCCCACTTTGTAGCCGGCTATGAGGGTGCATTTAATGCACGACGGTCGAGTTATTTGAAGATTATTTAATATATTTAAAGTTGGAATCCTAAAGCCGGCTTTAGGCTTTGCAGCCAGCTGTGGAAGAAAACAGAATGTGTAGGAAACCCGCAGAGTTGGCTGTAGAAATGGTGAACCGGCTATACAGAGCCGGCTCTAGGAAGTTAAGCCGGCTCTCTTGACAATCCTACAACTCGAGCTTTGCATCTTGCAACTCGAGCTTTGCGTCCTGTAGGGCATTTAATGACCCCCAACGGCTAGAAACGGCTATATTCAAGCAAGGGGCTATAAATATGGTTAGTAACAGATTTGAAGAAGTTTGGAGAACATTATATTGAATATCTTTACCTACCAACTTTTGTTTTAACTAGAGATTTTGATCTTTGAGAGATCTTTGTTTGTAATCCTCTTCTTGTGCTATTAGTGAGTGATCTTGGGGGTGTGTTGATTCCTTCAAGAGTGATCTAT